TATTTCAACAAAAAAACATCAAATTTGAAATGTAACACGGGGAATTCTGGGAATGTCAATTTACGGATATTCACTGTAAATTATACAGTATTTTTCACTTCCAAAAACGGTATACTACCGTAAAATGTATGTCCAATACATGTAATGTCCAATACAGTTTTTCACCGTATATAGTAGGGGAATTTACCGTTAACCATTTAACAGGTTTTTACTGTAGCATTTTTACAGTCTTTTACCATTAAATTCACAGTCATCTTTTACAGTGCAGTTTTAAACATCTTTTACTGTACCCATTGTATAGCCCTTATATGACCTATTTGAGCCAATGCAGATGAATGAAGTTTTCTCAGGACGAGACCGCCCTGATTGTAAAGCAAAATGTGATTGGCTATAGCGAGATCGTGCTACGATTGGTCAGCGAATGTGGCTGTTATCTGATTGGCTTGAGTAGACGGTGGGTGGAGTCCACGTATTTGTGGATTGTCAGCACGTCTTGACGGAAGAAATGTTTCACAATTCGCACATGCACAGGACGCGATTTACAAATGCGTGCGCTATCTACAAATGCACAGGACGCGATTCACAAATGCGTGCAGCTATCTACAAATGCACAGGACGCGATTCACAAATAAATGCCAGGCAAAGTTGTGGTTGTGACATAAATATATATTTGTGAATATGTTTTTTATTTGCAAATCTCATTTTATTTATTTGCGAATTTAATTCATGTTTGTGAAACTTTAAGATTTATTTGTGGATCTCATTCTATTTATTTGTGGATCATAATCTATTTATTTGGAATTAAGCAACAATTCTACCCCCATATTTGAGCGCTATAAGAAAAACCTTATAAATTCCCTTATTTACCAAAGCAGAAGTTTTCCGAAACTTTTCTGAAAATAAAGGCACAGATAAATAATACTCAAAAAGCACCTTGTAATTCACAAAACTTTATTCCTTATAACATAGTTTCAAGGCCAAATTACAAATAAATAATGGAGTTGTTTGCTTTTACCTGCTTGTGGTAAGACAGTAACCACTCACACAAAGGAGAAAATACCCCAAACCTGGTCAGTAACAAAGATTAAACATATTTAATGGAGATATTACATCTGTACATCTACTAAATGCAACTACCTTTATGAATTTCTGACATAAAAGTCATATTTACAGAGCGGGTAACAGAAGTAGAGAGAATTAATGCACCAAACATCCTCTTTGTGTGTCTAGAATGCTTAATAGGCCTGTGTGTAGCCATTAAACATCAAGGACACCAAGAATGTAAAGTAGGATACGGTTAAACACAGACATGTTGATGGCGTAAGCCTGCAACAGGCCGAACTCTTGTCATTAAATTCGGTTAGCTGTTGCCAAGGACGTGACTGAAAGGTAAATACACCAATCAGATTACAGTTCGGCTCAGAAAATCGGGAATAAGTTGGAGCTCTCTCTAGACTAACAGCTGATTGGCCAGATGCTTGTGGAACAAATGACATCGCAGGATGTAAATGAAGCACAATCAAGGTGAGCAGTACAGCAGCACTAAGAGGGGATGTGTCACTCCCTGAATTCAAAAACAGAAATAAATGATCAAAAGTATAATTTCCTATAAACCACTTTTAATTTCCACTGTGTAAAAAAGGCAATCAACATCCTCCATTGAGCACAGGAAAGGCAGACTTGTCTAGTTTAGGAACACCATTTGCCTTCAGTTCCTTTTAGGACAAACCAAAATAATAATAAAACATTTTTCACATAAATAATGAATAAACGTACAGCTTTAGAAACATTTGCCCCGATTTTGCAAATGCCACATTTATTAATGTCCGCGATACAATATGTTCTTATTCGAAGCTTATTTGTTTGGTTTACAACTCCTGAATCATGCAATGTCAAATGCGAATCATAATGCATCAGTTGTCGAATGATGTAAGTGATCTGCACAGTCTGAAGCAGAATAAGTGTGTCTCTTCCGTTACATCGAAGAGGCTGGAGACATTCATGCTCTTGGGACCGGACTGTGCGTATCATTTGTTGTATCTCAGAATACATAAGTCTATTGCACATTCAAATTCATACTTTTCCTCTTTGTTGAAGTCACTAATCGTTTCCTACAATGACAATATCACAATATAATAAAAAAATGGCCATTTATAGGTACCCAAACTACTTCACGGCAACACTTGGCTCCCTTGCAAAACATCCATGCAACACAGTGGCTGACATAATATGATCACAAGACATTTTTAGAAAGGAATATGTTTAAAGGCTTAACAAATTCAGACAAAAACAGAGCTCAAAGAAATATACGCTGTAAGTATGGAGTAATACATCCCATATGATTCTTAGGCAAACCCTGTAGATGCGAGTAACGGAATGTAGGAGAGCAGAGAGGAACGAGGAGTGAATCTTTCAGATGCAGACCTGACGCCAACTCGCTGACATAGAAATGCACAATTTGGAGCCTGTCTGTGAAATAGGATTATTGTTAAAGTTGCCCTGACAAAAAAAAAAATTCTGCAACATCAGTAGAAGTGTTCTGTAGTATTAGAGCATGTATCTGGCTTAAGACTGCTCTCCGTAACAGCTTTGGAGCAGAATTACAACTGCTTTTGTTACATTAGAACAGATATCTGGTGTAACACTGGTCTCTATTGGTCTGGATTGTTAGGTTTTTCTGGTTTCTTTCTAGGTACACAGTCCTCAGTGTGCACTAGTACCTGAAATACATTGTTCATTTCACTCAGGGCAACAGAAACAGCCTTTGGATACAGGTAAACAACAGAACCCGAAGTTCAAAGTAACAAAATGTCAAGTACAAACGCCAAAGTTCCAGAAAAAGTAACATTGTAACAGTTAGAGAAGCATTCCATACATATCCAAATCTGGTTGCGGTTTCAGACCAAAAACAAGTCTCTGAAAAAACAAAGGTCCGAACAAAGCTTACAAAGAAATAAGCAACAAAAAAATACAGCCAAATTACAAAACGTTTCCCTGCATAGACTCTTGATGAGAATTCAATGTGACCGCTTCGCAGTAGGGTGGAATCATCAAGCGCATCAATCTGCCTGCAGAACAATGTGAGGGTGGGGTGAGGGGGCGTGCCTATCAAAGAGAGCCAATGAGAGAGAAGCAAGTGGGTGGGGTCCAAAAGTCTCACAGTCTGTAGGTTGTGTTGTCTGTCTTTCAGGATTCACTCTCGTGAATCATCTGAGAAAAAAAAGTGTGTTGTTTAGTACCTGCTGCAGCAGGTGGCATTTGCTGTCGTTCCTTTCCCTCTCATCAAACCATAACTGAACGAAAATTCAAGTGTGTCCCTGTTTTGATTGCAGAACATCACAGGGGGCAGGAAGGCAGAGGATTGTGGGATGTTTTTTTTTCATATATAGGCATTGTGGTATATGGTGTGTCCTAAACCTCCCTCCCTCCCTCCCCACCACCACATAACACCACATAACACCACCTGGCTTCATTCACTTGCCGCCGTACATCCTCTCGATATCGTCCTGATAGTGCGTTTTTAGTTCCTTGCGTTTGAGTTTGAAGGCGTCAGTAACCAGGCCTGTCTCGGGCGTCCAGGGTTCGGCGCTCAGACGGATTTTCTTTGGGATCTCAAAGCGTTCCAGTTTACCTGTGAATCAAAACAGAGATTTTATTTAACATTCAGAGCCTTATGGTTTTGGGAACTGTAGCTCGTTAAGCTACAAGTGTATATAGCAAGAAGCTTTAAAAAGATGAGGTAAAATGCTGTGCATGGTCTTTTGCCAAAGGTTTTGAGTTACATTTAAAGTGAATTAGTTTTTATTGGAACTGTATCAGTGAAATGAACTGCCTAAACAAGCCAATTCATCCAAATGAATTAGACTTCCCAACAATACTTGAGAAAGAGAGGACAGTTTTGAGAGGGAGTCTCTTAAGCTCACCAAGACCGCATTTATTTGATTAAAAATACAGTAAAAACCGTAATATTGTGAAATATTATTACAATTTAAAATAACTCTTTTCTATTGTAATATATTTTAAAGTGTAATTTATTCCTGTGATGGAAAAGCTGAATTTTCAGCATCATTACTCCAGTCTTCAGTGTCACATGATCCTTCAGAAATCATTCTAATATGCTGATTTGCTGGTCAAGAAACATTTCTGATGTTTTTACATAATATTTTTTTTGTGGAAACCTTGATAAATTTTTCAATATTTTTGAAGTTCAAAATAACAGGATTTATTTGAAATCGAATCAACTTGATCAATTTAATGCATTCTTGCTGAATAAAATTTCTTTCAAAAATTCTAGTTATTCTAAGATTTATATTGTAAGATGTATTGTAAAAATCTACATATCGTCAGATTTTCAGATGGTAAGTAAACATCCAGTATGGTTACTTTTTACGAAGTAAAAAGATGCAAAACGGTGATACAGTAAACAAGTTTGGCATTGACACTGCAATTCAGAAATCTTCCCATCAATCCAATTCAGCATCCATAAAAGCTGTGGCCAATTATAAAGTCCAACCCTTAAAAAAACGAAGACAATTGTTAGTTTGCCCTCTGTTGACAGACCTGTTATAGCCGCGTCTGTGATGATACATAGAACCTCTTTCTCCATCTCTGCATGGTTGCAGATCTCTTCCCATGATCCTCTGATGCCCTTCTGCTCTGCAAGGGCAGTTAACTGTTTCTGATTGGGCACCACAAACCCAATCACATAAGACTCCTCACTGTGTAAAGAGAAGGAAAGATTTATACATCTCAGCTAAAACACAATACAACATTTATGAATGCATGTTTCTTGTGTGCCCGTGTGTATTTGCACTCACCTGTTGGCATAAGCGCAGATGTTGTCAATGAGCGGGCAGTTTTTGAGCACAGCCTCCACTTTGCCCAAAGACACATATTCACCAGCTTGCAACTTCACCAGGTCCTTCTTACGATCTACAAACACATGCCACAACCAGTTAGAGGAACTTAAGATAGAAATGACTATGATAACACTTAAAAGGGTCATATGATGCGATTTCAAGTTTTCCTTTCTCTTTGGAGTGTTACAAGCTGTTCGTGAATAGATAAGATCCCTAAAGTTGCAAAGACTAAAGTCTCAAACCCAAAGAGATATGCTTTATATTAGTTAAGAGTCAACCACGCCCTCCTAAAACACCTCCTTCTAACACGCCCCCACATGTCTACGTCATGATGTGGGAAGATTTGCATAACACCACCCAAATGTTCACGCAAAGAAAGAAGGCTTAACTTTATTGATGCTGTCACCGCCGCCGCCATGTTGTGACGACACTGTGTGTTTCGTTGCGAAAGCGAAAATACTTTGTTTGGCCTTCCAAAAGAGGACACGACTAGAAAATACAACTAGGTTAAGTTGTATTTACAACACTGTTCCAGAACAGTTCAACCCAAATATTCAGATGTGTGCAGCGCATTTTATGGAGAACGTTTCCTGATCCTGGTAGAGTAGACTACAATGCCGGCTGTTCTGACTCACAGTATGGAAGTATGTTTTTATATTTAAAGAATTTGCCACTGATGATTCAAACGCGAGTTTTGAGCAGTGTAGAGTAGCGCTTGTTGTTTGTCATTTCTCCGATCACAAATGCAGACATGGTTTTATGTTTGCACGGCGCGATGCAACACCAACGCGTAAAAAGACAGTACAAGTCGTTATAATCCGTAATTATGTTCCCACTGGATGCAACAAATGCCTCGTTTATAATGGGTTTTATTGGTTTTGTCTCGTCGCTCTGGCCGGGACACGGCATCACAGTATGGTAAGGGGCGTAACATTTTCGTCACACGCTTGAGGTATTCGGCCAATCAGAGCACACCTCGTTTTTCAGACCCGATGAGCTTTGTAAAAATCGACGCGTTTCAGAAAGGCGGGGCATAGAGAAGAAACAATAATGTACAGTATGTGGAAAATAATGTGTTTTTTAACCTTAAACCGCATAAACACATTTCATTACACTAAATACACAAAATAATGTTCTTTTTAGCAACATCATATGACCCCTTTAAAGGGATAGTTCGCCCAAAAATTACAATCGTGTCATCATTTAATCACCATCAAGTAGTTCCAAACCTGTATGTAACAACTGATGGCAGCCATTGACTTCCACAGTATGGAAAAAAATACTATTGAAGTCAATGAGTACCGTCAACTTTTTGGTTCAAAATTTCTTCTTTTGTATTCAACAGAAGAAAGAAACTCATACACGTTTGGAACAAGTGGAGGCTGCGTAAATGACGACAGAATTTTTGGGTGAAGTATCCCTTTAGATAGCTCTGATATTTTGTTAATGTTTGTGTGTATCGGTGTCTCTCCACACCGATAATCTTGAGGCAGCCGTCAGGGTGAAATTCTCCGATATCTCCGGTGCAGAACCAGCGCTGGCCGTTCACATCCACAAAGAAATCCTCTCGGTTCTTCTGCTCATTTTTATAGTAACCCATGGTGACGTTGGGACCACCCATCAGAATCTCTCCTCGTGGGTTTGGTTTATCTGTGCTGAAATAGCCACCTATGGCCAAATAAATAAAGGACATTATTTAATAATATTTAAATTCTCATCATACTTTAAAAATGAAAAACCAATAGCAGCCAATGAACATCAACATAATTGTTGATAGTAAAAAAGCTGAACTCGCCTTCCTCCCAGTCTTTCAGCATGATCTCTGAACACACCAGAGGAGCTCCAACACGTCCAGTGCTGTAATCAGCCACTAGACAAACATACACAGTATTAGCACACTTATGCAATTTAACACATTCATTTATTCAGAAGCATCCATTTAATGTCACTTGATTTGAAGGTATGGTTTTTATAATTTTCTTTAAATTCTAACTGTATTTTCCCCTCCATTTCCTATTATTACTGCAGTAATCGCATTCATTGTTGGATTAACCCAGCATATTATCCCAGGTTTTATTCAAGACCTCTCATCACTGATTTGATATACATTAATCCCAAGGTCCCCATACCTGTTGACCCATAAATTCCCATTACTTTTCCCTAGTCGTTTGTGATTGCTGGATAAGGATTTTAAAATGATTTCAAAAAGACTGCACTCAAAGAGCAATTTCTAGCCAAAGAAATATTTCAGAGCAGAACATGATAATGACATATGTAAAAAAATATTAAATGTACTAAATTATTAAAAACGAATTCTATACTAGAATACACACCCTCAATTTGAAGTACTGACTTGATTAAAAGTACCTTTTAATTCTAGAACTCACATAATTGACTTTCCTGCACATTCCTGGACAAGTAATATACTGTACTTTTAGTCACATTATTCCTGTCATGAGTCCTAACCAGCATTCGTATTATTTATATACAACTATAGTTTTTATTAATAGCTTGAATTGCATTTTATTTTTATATTTTCAATTTAAAATGTTTGTTTTAAGTTTTAGTAAATGTTATGTTCTTGTAATTTTAATTAGTTATTCAATATTTCTGTTTTTAGTACTATTACTACTAAATTATTTTAGTTGTTTTTTGATCAAATATTTGTATATTTTAAATATTTAATATGTTATATTTTTCAGCCTTATTTCAATTACTGAAAAGATAGTTTTAATTTTATTTTACAATAAAAACACTGGTCTTGTTAAAAAAAAAAGAGTAATACTGTGAAATAGTATTACAATTTACAATAACCACTTTCTATTTCAATATATTTTAAAATGTAGTTTCCTGTGATGCAAAGCTTAATTTTCAACAGCCATTACTCCAGTGTCACATGATCCTCAGAAATCATTCTTGTTGAAAATATTTGTGCTGCTTAATATTTTTTCAATTTCTTTAAAAAAAAAAACTAAACAAAAGAAAAGCACCTTTAAACACTGGTGTACATTACCATAAAGTCAGGTTCATGGATAAATTCACTTGGACATTTATGACATTTATTATTCAAGCACTGCTAATAAAGCAATGGAGATTAATGGAGATTAGCTATTTAATAACTAAAAATCCAAAATCCAAGGATAGACTGAATCATTTCATTTGAGTTTTATTTTATAATAAAATGCTGCTCCTAGGTTCACTCCAACCGCCTGGCTCAGTGAATCTCAGGCTTACAATCGCTGATGGTCCCGGCTCCGCAGGTCTCCGTCAGGCCGTAGCCCTGTCCCACAGGACAGCAGAAGCAGATATTCATAAAACGCTGAGTAGCTGCAGATAAAGGAGCTCCGCCAGACAACAGTACTCGCATGCTACCGCCCAGCAACGAGCGAACCTTCTTGAACACAAGCCTACAGAACAAGATGCAATTATACATTAGAGTTATAACAGAGAAAACAGAACGGCTTCTGGACAAACCCAGTGAGTTTTAGATGAAATCATTTTGCTAATATTATAAGCAGCGTTCAGTATACCGGTCACACAGTGGTGTGTTGTATCCTTTGGAGATCTGCTCCATCTTGTAGTTGTACGCCAGAACAAAGAGAGTTTTCTGCACACTGCTCATCTCTTCAACTTTAGTCATCACATTCTTATAGATACGGTCCATTATCTCCTACACACAGACATAATGAGAGAAAATTACTTCACATCTATATCAAACCCAACAGCTGTTATGAGCACTGTGTGTGTTTGTGTGAACGTGAGGTTTCTTACAGGTACGGCTGCCATCAGTGTTGGTCTGAGCATACTGGTGTCTCCTTTGCTGCCCTTTTTAATTTTAGATGACTGTGGGAGAAAGGACAAAATATTGGCAGATCTTTTTTTTCCCAAACCAGCAGAATTTTTTCTTCAAGATGCAGGGCTGTGTTATCATTCTCTGCATTTATGATGCAAATGCTTTGGCAATATGAAGTACTGTGAGATTGTAAAAGAGCTTGACATGGTAATGACAGCACAATAGCATGACTCATCTGTGTGTGTGTGTGTGTCTGTGTGCGTTTGTACCTGGTCAGCAAGAGTCTGAGGTGACGAATATCCAATCCGGCAGCCATGTGACACACACACCAGCTCAGCGCTGAGCTCCAGGACGTGAGCAAGTGGCAGGTAGCCAATGTAGGTGTCATTCTCACTGCCACAATAAACAGAAACAGTACTAACAGAAAATCCTTTACCAACATCTAAACAAACATTTCGGATGATTTGGCAGGCCAGCGTTCAGTCACACAGACAGAGAAAACGGTTTCTAACTGCAATGTCAGGTGTCACATTTTGGAACAATAAACAAGTCATTTTATATATAACTTACTTTAATAAGGCATTAACAAAACTTACATTAACTTTTCAGTAATACATTCCAGTATGATTAAATGTGGTTCAACGTTTCATGAGATTTTAGAGATTTAAATGAACAGTAGCACTCAAAAGTTTGGTGATGTTAATTTTGTTTTTAAAATAAGTTTGTTACCAAGGCTGCATTTATTTGATCAAAAATACAGTAAAAACAATAATATTATGAAATATTATTACAATTTAAAATAACTCTTTTCTATTTTGATATATTTTAAAATGTAATTTATTCCTGTGATGCAAAGCTGAATTTTCAGCATCATTACTCCAGTCTTCAGTGTCACATGATACTGATTTGCTGCTCAAGAAACATTTCTTATTATTATCAATGTTGAAAACAGTTGTGCTGCTTAATATTTTTGTCATTTCTTTAAAAAAAAAAAAAAAAAAAAAACTCAAACAGGTTTGCTTCCTAGGTAACTTATTTTTTGATTAACAATTAATATTGCTATAGAAGCCCATTTCCGCCACTGAATAAAGGTAAAGGTAATTGCGAATTTTTATCTCACAATTCTGACTTTTTTCTCGCCATTGTGTGATACAAACTTTCTGAGTTTTTTTTCTCAGAACTGTGAGATATAAACTCTCCGTTTCGAGTTATAAAGTCAGTATTGCGTGATATAAAATCGCAATTGCGAGAAAAAACTCAGAATTGAAAGATTTAAATTCGCAATTCTGAGAAGGTCAGAATTCTGAGATATGAACTCTCATACTGAGTTTTTTCTCAGAATTGCGAGTTTTTATCCGGCAATTGTGACTTTTTTCCTCAGAATTGCGAGTTTATATCTCACAATTTTGACTATAACTTGCAATTGTGAGTTTACAAATCACAATTCTGAGAAAAAAAGAATTGAGGAAAAAAATCTGAATCGCAAGAAAAAAAGTCAATTTATAAAAAGTTGCAATAACCTTTTTTATTTTTTAATTCAGTGGAGGAAACAGACTTCCATATATTGCCGTGACCAGCTTTCTGCTTTAAAACCTTAAATTAGTAGTACATGCTAATTTATTATTCAGCCATAAAATGAAGTACTGCCAATAAAAAAAATTGAGATTAATGGAGATTAGCTATTTAACAACTAAAAATCCATGGATGGACAGAATCATGCTGGAAAATATGAAAAAAGAGAGACAGATAGAGTGATAGAGAGACCGATGAATGCAGACAGTGAGACAGGAGTGTGTGTCAGAGAAACTTACTTCAGGTTAGGAATGCGTTCAGCCATGCCAGTGATGCCAGCGATGATGTTTCTATGGGAGATCATGACTCCTTTAGGAATGCCTGTAGAGCCGCTGGTGTACATGATCACTGCGATATCAGACGGGACAGGCTGTCTGCGGGACACCATTACTGCACAGAGAAACACACATTCACAGCCCTTCATTAGTGGCAGGCAGCCATGTTGTTGCGCCGTTCCAGACAGAAGTGCTCTAAAATAACTATTTTGAAGGAGGAAAAACAAACTTTTTTTAATAGACAACTTTGCCAAGATTTTTTGCACTGCATGAACCTTTTAATCCAAAATAAATGTCATAAATCTGCCCAGGCTAATGTAAATTAAACCACCGGCACCAGTAATAAACAAAAAGCTGTGAAATCCTTCATCTTTGTTGAATTATTAAACACATTTAAAATCTTTTTGTTTAAAATCACATCAATTAAAATAAATACATATGAATTAATATTTAACATATTGTTAATATTAACAATTAAAGGGTTCGTTCACCTAAAAATGAAAATTAGCCCATAAAGTACTCACCCTAGTCATCCTAGATGTATATGACTTTCTTCTTTCAGACGAATCCAGTTGAAGTTATATAAAAAATTGTCTTTGATCTTTCAAGCTGTTTAATGCCACTCAGCGGGTGTTGCATGCTTCAGTCCAAAAGAAGTTAAATAAAAATCGCCCGTCCATAAAAAAGTAGCGAATCGATGCGTTTTTGTAAGAAAAATATCCATATTCAAAACATAATAATCACTTTAATGTAGCTTGCGCTCACTGTTGTAAACGGAAGCAGCTCCGGGCGGATGGCGTATGAGTTCAGCGTTGCGGATGCGCCGGTGAGTCTCGTGAAAATGAATGTTTGTTAACAGGAGCAAAGGAAGCAAAGTTTCCTTACTTGTGCAAAGGAAGACCAGTCTCCTCTTGGCTTATATCGAAATCCTCCGACATTCTTCTTTACAAATCCTCATTTGTACTTCTAATAAGTGACCATTGTTTTGTTTTGATCTCTCCCCTGCGCTTCCGCGTGCATCACTTCTGAGCGGCGCATGCGCAACGCCGACCTCATACGTCATCTGCCCGGAGCTGCTTGCGTGTAGGACTGATGGCGCAAGCTACATTAAAGTGATTATTACGTTTAGAATATGGATATTTTTCTTACAAAAACGCATCGATTCGCTACAGGAGGCCTTTGTTCACCCACCCGAAGCCGTGTGAGACACTTTTTTTTATGGATGGGAGCTTTTTATTTAACTTCTTTTGGACTGATGCATGCAACACCCGCTGAGTGCCGTTAAACAGCTTGAAAGATCAAAGACAATTTTTAATATAACTCCGACTGGATTCGTCTGAAAAAAGAAAGTCATATACACCCAAGTAATTTATGGGCTAATTTTCATTTTTGGGTGAACTAACCCTTTAATATTTAAGTCAACTATACATTTGTATTTATTTTTATAAATATATGTTCACCAAGGCTGCATTTATTCGATCAAAAATAACAGTTAAAAACAGCAATATTGTGAAATGTTATTTTAATTTGAAGTAACTGTTTACTATTTTAAAATGTAATCTAAATATAAATGTAATTAAATGTAAGCTCCTTTTTTTGTCACGTCACATTATCCTTCAGAAATGATTCTAATATTAAACTTTTCTTATTATTACCAATGTTGAAAACAGTTGTGCTGCTTAATATTTTTGTCGAAAACCGTGCTAAATTATTTCTGGATTTTTTGATGCATATAAAGTTCAAAAGAATAGCATTTATCTGAAACAGATGTGTTTTGTAACATTATAAATGTCACTTTTGATCAATTTAATGGCTTTGCTGAATTAAGTATTAAGTTGTGTTGGCTTGGAAAGTTAAAGTGCCGAATTACTTTTATTTTTGATTCCTTCACCCTTCAACCCTCCAAAGCTCTCTCTATGGAGAGTGACGCCTTCAGAGAGAATATACACATATGAGGGACAAATACATGATTATTTAAAATCAAATGCACCTAGTATCATTCATCCTGCTGTCTCAAATGTGTGAGTGCTAGACAGGCAACACATAAAAACAAAGGTCTAATGCTCCAGTGAAATGTCTAAACCTCTTATCTCAGTCTTTTTGAACAGAGAAACCCTGCTCTAATAATGATAACATCTCCCTCTCTTATCTCCAAAGGGCTTTTCTGAACACTTGCTCTTATCTGACCCAAAGGCTGAGCGTGTGGGCTCTCAACACCGGTCCGCATGGCCTCAAAAGTCTTAGAAGATTCTGCTGTCTTTCTTTCCCAACATACTATGTTTATGACTTTCGGTCATTATTGTGTTAATACACTTCAAAACATAACAAAAGATGCTGTTTTTATCGTCAACAAGCAAGAGCCCATCTATTTTTGGGAACACGAGGCTATGTTTGGACTGTTTGGTATATGCTATAAACTAAAAGTAGTATGTGAAACCATATGCATCATGCAAATATAACAGTATGCATATAAACATTTCAAACAAAGTAGCATGCCACTTGAGACTTACTATTTTCAGGTTTGGCTCCCAGTTCTTGCACAGCAGCCACGTTGTGAACCATGATGCCTCTGGGGAGATCAGGCAAACTCTTGGGCTTCTTATCAACCACTATAATGTGCTTCAGTCTGGGCACATCCATCAGAATGGCCTGAGAGAGAGTGTGATTGAGAGCATGAGTGACAGCAGCTCTTGATCGTTGATGAGCCAACTGGCGTGTCATGCGTCTTATACGCTATATATGGAGTGTGTGGTATTTTCACCTTGAGGCGGCTCTGCAGCAGGTCTTTGCTTGTGATGATGTGTGTAACCTCAGTCTCATTTAGCCCATGAGCTATAGCTGCTCCTCCCAATGTAGAGTATAGAGTCACCACTGAGACCAAGAGAAAGAAAAGCATTTAGATTTTGATTTATAACTGTGCCTTTAAATATCAAAGAGTGACAGAGAGAGTAAGAGACAGAGGCAGAGGCTACACACAAATGTTCATATTCCTACATAAAGCGTGTACTTCACTAAAGGCTATAGTTTGAATATGCAGTAAGACAGTATTCATATAATGAATAACAGTGTAATAATAATAATATTATAAATATTTTTAATTTAAATACAAACAAATCAATAAAAATATTACTATTTCAATTAAACTGTACTTTAAAATAAAGTAGAGAATTTAATAATAATAATGACAATAATAATAATTATATTATTATTATTTTATTTAAATGTTAAAACCTAAACAAATCAATAAACAATTACTATTTCAATCAAATTTAACAGTAAAATAAAAAGCTGAGTATTTAATAATAACATCAAGAAACCCTGAATTCTTTAAATAATAATAATAATTTATTATTATTATTATGATTTCAATTAAAAACATATAAATACATATATTGCCATTTCTTTATATTTGTATTGTAAAATAAAACGTATTTAATAATAAATAAAGTTTCAATATATACAGTAAGAGTATTAATTTAATATGACTATACAATAAAAATAAATTATTATTAATAATATTTTTTATTATTATTTAAATGTTAAAATTAAGATCAATAAAATAAAGAAAGAAAGAAAAAAATAAATATATTACAAATTCAATCAAATTGTACTGTAAAATAAAAAGCCAAGTTTTTGATAATAATAATCACTTTATTTTCAGTAACAGTAAAATTACGGTTGTTTACCTTCTCTTCTGTAATTCCCAAGAGGGTAATATCAGTCTAAAAAAGCATGCACAGATCAAAAACTTTGGCATACCATATTCATCTTTTAAATTATAGATACACATCATAGTGAGATGCACTAATTCAAATTCACTGTTAACATGTGAACTGATTTCCTGCAGCATGCATGTGTGTGTGTGCTTGAATCGAACAATTCTCAATTCTTCAGTGTGATTCTTCAGTAGTCTTTCATCTAGTACTACAGCAGTGCTGCTATTTTTGGCCTGGCATTTTCTCCTAGTCAGCATAATGCAGCAGACAATACTCTGTGTTTGTGGTTTAATTGCTCACAGGGGAAGTTGTACATGAAGCAAGCCTGCGCCGCTATGATCCATTCTGCACGAGTCTCGCAGAAAATGGCGATGTTACAAAGAGGCTTCTGGCCCAGTGCAGCCAACCCACTACCAAACCTCTGAGACAGATGGAAAGTGTCTTCATACGACAACCAGTTATAATCGCCCAGAATCACCTAGAGAGAAAGACATACTGCATTGTATTAAAACACACAAGCTTGTGACTTCTTTTCAGTTTCATGTAAACAGTTCTGGACAACAACAGGCCAGAGATAAAAACGGTTTACAAAGAGACGGCCACTGAACTTTCAAGAAAGTTCAAGAGAGTTTGTGGGTGAGTTCTCTCTGGCCCCTTAGCCTTAGACAGACTTGATATATACTTGAATATTGTTTAAGTATGTGTTTAGAAAAATATGTTTTAAACCATTTCTGAGGGTATAAAAAAAGGGTCTTTGTAAACACTAAAAGCCTAAATATGTTTTTAGGCATACACACTGTTTAAAGGTTTGTGGTATTAAGAAAAATAAATAAATAAAATAAAATCTATACTTTTTTTTCCCACTAAGGACGCATTAAATTGGTCAAAAGTGACAGTAAATACATTTATAGCTTTCAAAAAAGAATCCTGAAAAAAATATCACAGTTTCCACAAAAATTAAGCAGCACAAACATTGATATTAATAAGAAATGTTTCTTGAGCAGCAAATCAGCATATTAGAATGATTTCTGAAGGATCATGTGACACTGAAGACTGAAGTAATGATGCTGAAAATTCAGCTTTGCATCACAGGAATTATATATTTTAAAATATATTAAAATGGAAAACAGTTGTTTTAAATTGTCATATTTCTCATTATTATTGATTTTACAGTATTTTTTATCAAATAAATGCAGCTATGCTCATTGTCATCAAATTATAAACATTAATTCTGCTGTTTAAAACAAATAAAGAATGGTTATTATGCGCACACAGTGGGAAACTCTCTATGTTCGTGCAGTGTGCACAAAAAAATCAATTCCGATTTGAAGCTTGTGACAAACGCACACTTCAAATGGATCACTTTATTTAGCATTCATGTAAACACTACATTCAGATTCATCAATCAGAATTAATTCAGTCCGACTGAAACAAAAATTGTGCATGTAAACAGCCACTGACAACTTGCTTTTTTATGTAATTTAAGAAGAAAGTCTCTTGACATTGACATAATATAGCAACTAATGTGGATATACTGCAATTTGAAAACACTTTTTAGATTTGCAGACTGGATTCAATAAATCAGTATCACTTGCAGTGTGAACAAAGTTCCAAAGCCCTTGAGAGTATGTGACAATACGAGTCTTTGTGTGTGTGTGTGTGTGTGTGTGTCTCACCTTTTTAAAGACCTTGCCGTTAGGCTGTATCTCATCCTCCTCACTTAGCAGCTCTCTAGTGCCCAGGCAGTCTCGTTGAGGGAAGTGTACTACAGCGTATTCAAATACTTTATCCAAAGTATCCACACCCTCATGCAGCAGGGACACCAATTTCTGCTGGCTGTTCACGGCCCGGTACGACCCTGCCGGACTCCCGCTTACCTGACGGGACAGGTGATCAGAATGAGGTCATGGGGAACGATCTGGACATGTGTGACAAGCACAGGGTGACAAAATGTGTCAGGGAACACTATTGCAAGATGGGAAAGAGTCCAAATTCAAACATACTTGTGACCTGATTGATCACATTTGTTTCTCTCAATGGTTTTTTTAACCAGCAATTGTATTAAGTGATGTTGATCAGTAATGACCGTGACTCAAATCCCTCCATTAATCTAAGATAAACTATGAAAATCGCAGTTGAATTATCATCTTTTGCATGTATTATGTGCTCTACTGTTAAAAAGTTTGGGGTCAGTTAAATTTTTTTTTTTATCTTTGCTTTGCATCACATGAAAAAAATACATTTTAAAATATATTACAATAGAAAACAGTTGTTTTAAATTGTAATAATATTTCACAATTTTACTTTATTTATTATCAAATAAATGCAGTCTTTAATGCAGTCAGAGACTTCTTTAAAAAAAAAAAAAAATCATACTGACCCCAAACGTTTGAACAGTAGTGTATGTCAAATGAATCTGTTCTAAATGAATATTTAGGGCCTATTACTCCTACTGTTGTACTCACAGAGCGCGCTTTGACCCGTTTAGCACAGGCCTGCCTCTCGCTGGCTCCGGAGAGCAGGTACCAGGGCAGGAATGTGATGACGGAATAAACCCAGACGACCGATCGAAAGACCTGCAGCAGGAGAGGAGACATGTCCTCCTTCAACTTCATCCTGAGAGGAACGAGAGATCGGAGGATGAGAAGACAGAAAGAAAGAGAAGGTAGTGATTTACTGCCCTCAGAACCACACTAGCTATAGCTTGGACTATTGTCCTCCACTCACTTTGTGCTGTTCTTTACTGTCCTCCAAGTATGTGATAGTATTCCTATTCTTCTGAAGGTCTTACGGAGTTCTTCTGCGTTCTTGAAATGTTTTAAGGTCTAGATGGTACTTGTTGGCCGTACTACTGCCTTTTGTCAAACCTGCTGGCTAAGAGGGCAACTTCTTGTTCCATTTCTTTTTCCCACTCTTGCTTCCTGCTATGACGGTGTGCAAAGCCTCCTGGGAATAAGGATGAGCTGTGGGGGAATACAAGCACCAAAGAGTGTTCACACCATTCACTGTGCTTCATGGGAGTGAGTGGGCGCTAAAGAGTTCTTTGGTGTGATTTGCTCATTTCAGTTCCCTCATTGGTGGAATTTTTTTTTTGCAGAATCATGGGTAATGTCGTTTTTACCAGTCCTTTTGTTGTTAAAAACAGTTGTTGAAATAACACGGACCGATTTAGGTTTAGGAAATGATGCTATCTAGACTCAAACTTACTCTACCCGTCTCTGACAGGGTCATTGTGATTTAACTGGGCATGGCTGGCAGACAGTGAACGCAACGCCGTGAGCTCAGACGACAAACAAGACAGGCTTTGTTGCTCTGGAAGGATGAAGCTCACACTAAAACAGTGTTCTGTTTGAGAGGAGGATATGCTTATGAATACATGTGTGTGTTGAGGAGGGGAGAGATGGGGGGTGGACAAGCATATCCAGAACATGAAATACAAACGGATATTTGGCCAATTTCTGATATCCCAAAATAAAGACTGACCTGATATACCAGTGGCCCATATGATAGAATAAGCAGTGTTGAACTTAAAAATGATGTTGGAAATAGGTCAATAATTCTCAAGTGCAACCCCCCTAAACCCCTCTGGGAAGATGCACGTTTTACAGATAAACACAACACTCTTGTACAAGAAAAAGCAAAGGATGAAACAACCCCTTTCCCATTTTCTTGCTGGGAAAAATACAAGCTGCAGACTTTTTTCTCTGGCTTTGCTACTTTAGAGGAAGGTCAAAATGAAAATCCAGGATATAGATGTTCTCAAATATCATCTACCCAGCAGAAACGTGCTCTCCTTGAAGCTTCAATTGTAGACTCCATCACAACAGAGGTTTGGAGGCAGTCAGAAGTTTATCAGGTCAGGTCACTTTGCATTTCTAGAAAGCAGGGTGGTCTATAAAATGCCAATATATGATATATAATACAACTTAATGATAGCACATGAGACCCTGAAATGATTACATGAACATTTGAAAAACAGAAAAATTAGATTTTGAAGTATGTTGTGAACCTGACAACATTTGAGCCCATTGACCTTTATTGTATTGTAATTGACATTTCTCAAACATCTTCTTTTATGTTCCACAGAAGAAAAGTCATATAGGTTTACAACAACATGAGAGTGAGTTAATGATTTTTGGGTGAACTATCTTGCTAAAAATTCCAATATTGCAACACAAACTCTTTAACATTCCTCTATGTGAGGAAAAATAGACTTCTTAAACTACTTGTGGATAGTGGATTGCAAGCAGAATGTTGCTGTGATAAACATCATATGGTAAAGTCGTTGGCCTCAAGCTGTGTGAAAGGGTTGCGTATGGAGCAGCAATAACAGATAGCACATTCCCTGACTCCCAAAAAAATCCCAGACATATTCGCCTGGAGACCAGTTGCATATGGACGTGAAAACCTTTTCCGGCCAGAGGAATGTCACAGACTAAAGAGACGTGTATTATGAAGACATGACTCTAACGTTCACATCTCTCTCCCAAGTCCACACAGACCATTTATAGAAACTAAGCTGCAAAAACTAGGTCGTTCAGAAATCAGTTGTGTCATAAGCATTAGCACATTAACATATGAGGAGTTTGACCACTATGTAAAGGCCTATTCACTTATCAACAAATATTCTGATGGACAACTATGTGAAATATACAGAATGTTCCATTTTCCATGGATCCAAAGCATCCATTTCTTATTTTTTAGAATTCATTAATGAACAGAAAGTTTGAAGAACAGCATTTCTTTTTAAAAATTAGTAACATTACATGATGTTTAGTAACATTACAAATGTCTTTTCCCTGTCATTTTTGATCAATTTAATGTGTCCATGCTGAATTAAAGTATGAATTATTTTAAAAACATTTTACTGACCCCAAACTTTGGAACAGTAGTATTATTATGAAATTACAAAATTAGGCCAGAAACTTGAAACATAACATTCATTCTCACTATGACTTATCAGTCAATAGTGAAATATATAGAAGTGACGTGACATGTGGCCAAGTATGGTGACCCATACTCGGAATTAGTGCTCTGCATTTATCCCATCCAAAGTGCACACACACACACAGCAGTGAACACACACACCGTGAACACACACCCGGAGTAGCCATTTTTTGCTGCGGTGCCCGGGGAGCAGTTGGGGGTTCGGTGCCTTACTCAAGGGCACCTCAGTCGTGGTACTGAAGGTGGAAGACCACCTACAATCCCTGCCGGTATGAGACTTGAACTCGCAACCTTGGGTTACAAGTCCGACTCTCTAACCATTAGGCCACAACTTCCCCAATGTAAGGGGAAGGAAACATAGCTATCAATTCATAAAAAAAGCAATATTTCTAAAAATCATTTCCAGATGGAAAGGAAGTGGCTGAAGATGGCATCCTGAACTTTAAAAATAGCAAATGTGCATCTATTAACTTAAAGGCTCTAGCTGTATAGTTGTTTATTATTATAATTGCTTACTATAATGGGAGGGATTTCATTCTGACAGGTTGTGATGTGCCGTGCCAGACATATCTCGTGTAGACAGAGTAAGTAAAGGGTGGAAAATGGCCAATTCAGAATTTAAACATGTACAATTTAAAAATACAGAGGTCCCAAAAATGTATTGGGTAGTGGACGCTAAACCCGAATAAAAATAGCAGTTATCATTTAGCAACCAATGACTCCTTATTGATGTGTAGAAATTCTAAAATGTATTTTTATGCATCAAAATATTTAGCTTAAATCCACATTTACAACTCCAAAATGCTGGATGGGCATAGCCAGGTAACGCCAAACCACTTCTACCACTGAAATATGTTTAACAAATGTGTAATCATCCTCTGTACATTCACTCTAAATGGTTTCAATCCATATTTCATAAGGCCCAATACTGGTGATGGACTAGTGCATCTGAATGAGGCACAGTAGTTAGTTATTAGATGGTCATCTGAGAAGCAGTCAATGTATGAAGATCTTCAGCCAAGCTCAGGTATTAAATATCATCTCTCCTGAGCAACCTGATCCAAACTCACCTGCACTGTCTGCCACAACACAGAGCTGAAAGAAAGAGTGTGCATTGCTCAAGGGCACGATGTGTACAGATCACCTGCATTAATTTAATACCTGTAACTTGAATGCTTTAAAATGTCTACTTAATCATGCTTGCTTTATTAATATTCATGATTGAACGAGTGAAAAAAATCCCACTGACTTACACCGAAGGACGGACCGAGAAATAATCAACCAGCCAGAACATGCTAGAAACTGCATATAGCAGAGTGCAAATAACCACTCAGAACACATTAGCTACCAAATAGCAACACCCTGGTGACCACTCAACAGCCTAGCATTGTGATGTTGAGTTTCGCACGGGCAAGAACCAACATGATTTGTGTGTGAATAACTGAGCACACTAAAGGCCAGTGACAAATGTGCCATCTTTAACACGGAGAGGAGGAACCAGTAAAGGGGACTTAACTACTAACAACAGAGGCTTAAAGTGAAAAAACAAAACATTTTTGGAAAGTGTTCTCTTCCTTTTTCCTCTTCATCAAGGGGTCAAACTCCCCCGCACAAAAACACAGACAACGGTTGCAGAAGTGAAGGAACAGGAATATCTTCCAGACACACCTACCAGGAATTCTAATCAGAGCCCCATCATTCATTACCCATAATCCCCTTTATACACCACTTGAGGAACCAGGGTGTGTTCGGACCTGTTCGGCTGGTCCATCACCTCGTGCTCAGGGTGTGAGAATAGAGGACATTAGTCATGCACTCCTGTACCGGGACAATCATGAAGAATCCAGCCCATAGGGAAGGAGCAAATCAATTCACACTCAAGAACTGCTGAATACTCGAACACTCACAATCTATGATGCATTTTAAGTATGTAAATCGTGTTTCCAGTGGCAGCATAAACCATCATTGCGCACTCTACAAACCTGAAGATCACACTGAAATCTCTTTGTAATCATGCTTGGTGCATCTTTTTCTGCTTGTAATGTGTTTCTGAAATAAATGTCATTAAATGCATCTTGCTTATAACGATTTATAGCGTTACAGGGATAGTTTTCCCAAAAAAATGAATCCCTCTTGTCATCACAAACCCTCAAGACTTTGATTAATATTCAAAAACACAAATTGAGAGTTTTTATAATTTTTTATAACCAGAAATGTTATAAAGGCTTTGTAAAAAGGAGCCGACTTGTTTTATTAAAAAAAGGCCCTCTAACACTAGCATTCCCTATTCTAGCTACTTGTTTTCTTTTGATTTATTATTAAAAATAAAACTTGCTACGTGTACTGCGTTAGGCTAACCGAGACTTCACAGCACTTACATATTATTGCCCTTTTGTTGGTTTTGAGTGCTTCTATTGTCCTCATTTGTAAGTCGCTTTGGATAAAAGCATCTGTTGAATGACTAAATGTAGGGTGAACATACGTGCCATTTTCTCAGGACGTGTCTTGGCCAGGATTTCTATATTGCCTAAAATATCTAGGTTTTGGCTTTGTTTGCGTGTGCAGACCGATCGGTGTATGATATCAAAATACCCCGAGAGCATTTTGAAAGCATAAGGAAGCGTCTGTATGGTATTTTGATGTCATACACCGATCGGTCTGCACATGCAAACAAAGCCAAAACCTAGATATTTTAGGCAATATAGAAATCCTGGCCAGGACGTGTCCTGGGAAAATGGCACGTATGGTCACCCTAACTAAATGTGAATGTAAATAAAAGCCTAAATTAAATCTGTTTATCATACAAAGCAATTACATCACTTCCCAAGTCTTGGATTAAACCATATGCTCAGTTCATATGGATTTGTTTTACGGTGCCTTTACAACCTTTTTGGATCTTTTATGTTTTGGTGCCTCGACTTTCCATTGAGGGAAAGAAAGCTCTTAGGTTTCATCAAAAATAACGTCTTATGGGTTTGGAACAACATGAGGGTGAGTAAATGACATCATTTTCATATTTGGGGATGAACTATTCCTTAATGGTTCACCCAAAAATACCGTCACCATTCACTCTCTCACTATATCATTCATATACCCTTAATTGTGTTTTGGGGTAGTTTGACAACCAGTGTTTACTTACTGACTTTCATTGCATGGAAAAGAAAATCATCTTAAATAGTAACCTTTACATTTCTGGTTGAAGCATCCATTTCAATTGTGGCAATATGGTGGATTGTGAGCAGTTATTAAGCACCAGTGTGTTTTGGACTTCATTAGAATGTCAAGACACAGAAGAACACGGTTGAGTAACAAAGATTTGATGCACCTAAAATAATAGATGGAGGCTACTCTTGAAGAAATGACAATGATTGGTGTATAACATGAATATGCTATGCATATGGATGAAAAATGTATGTTCCTATTAACATACATACATACATAAGTCTAGCCCGCTAAAGCCTTATCATAAGAAACCTTCTCATTATCATACAATTTCAAGTTCAAGTCCAGTCATCTAGTGCCTAACCTGCATGGTCACCATTCAAACACACTGCATTTGCAGATACTTATTCTTAGTGCTGGCCTTCAACTGACAGCACATAATCCAGCAGGATTATCTCAAAGCATGTCAACCCACTATCTTCCCCATCACCCACAACAAACTGCAGTCCCATGCCACCAGCACACTCATTTAAGCAAAACATCTTCTTCATGACAAAATATGCTCATCTGCCTTTCCATAACACAGAGAATCTAAACTGATGGGGTGTGAAATGTGTAAATGTCATGTTTGTTGATGTGAGATTGTGTGCTTAGTGTGCATGCAGGTGTATGGAGTACGAGAGATGTGCATGATCATAGCTAAAAAGCACAACATATTTTGTATATGAATGCGTGTGTCATTGCAGGCTGGGAGCAGAAGAGGCCTGAGAGATGATCAGTATCAAGAGATTAATGCGATGTCATCCATATCCTACATTCCTCCGGTTGCGAGGTGTCAGAGCATGCAAACCCGAGTAATAACACGCACGATGCTTTGCTATATGCATGCGTCTTTCACATGTAAATCAACGTTCTCCGCGCGCATCTGCACCGCACGACCCGCACAGACAATAAACACTCACCTTATTCTTCCAAGATGACGCCGCTGATTCAGTTAGACTCGCAACATCCTATTTAAAATGCTAAAATGTATTATAGAAGAGCTAGACGCGGCAAGTACAGAGCGATGATTGTTATTTTTTTTCTGGGTCGGTATATTGCGATCGCTGACTCGCGCCGGCCGTCGCTCTCAGCCCGGAAGTGATGGAAGCGTTGTCATGGCAGGGGCCGGTTTCCCCGTGCTCCCATTGGCTGACGCCTGGTGGCGCGTGTTGGAGGCTGGCGTGACATCACGCTCGGGTTACCAGCGGTCATGGTGGTGATTTATTTTATTTACATACAATGGCATTGATGTTTGTTTTATGTATTTATATTTTGCGGTCCATCGAGACTTTGTGAAGTGAATTTTAGCGGTCGAGGGGAATGGTGATGTGTAAGAGTGGACAGCGTCATTGGTTCTTTTGTTGACTCGATGAGAGCTGCGCTGCAGCGCCCCGAACAGCTGGCAGGCGGCTATCGAGGAGAAGTTCGAGTCATTTCCGCGAATCGATTCTTTTGAACAGTTCATTTCAAAGAACTGTTTCAAAAAAGTGATTCAGTTATTCAGTACGTCACC